ACGTCCTTCACCCCTAACACCAAGACTACAAATTCGTGTTTGATGCATTACAGCAGTGACGTCTGTGTATTTTTTTTCAAAGTCGCCCAGTAATGGAATCCGTCCCCGCTAACTGGATGTCATGAAGCCTCATTCAAGATGTAACGTGACATAATCAGACTATTAAACACTGGGTCTGACTGAGACATCCAAGCAGAGCGCTAGCTCCTTCAGAGGACCATACTGCACAGAAGCTAAGATGCTCCTGTTCTCACGTGTAAGCTCACGCATCTCATGATCACCTTCAGGAGGTGGCAGTTGTCATGTGGTTGGTTGTCATTGCCTGACTCCTGGTAGGTCAATAAAGCCCAGCATCAGATCTTGTAGAATGAGTGTCAGCAGCTTAGAGTAAACTCTGGAGCCAGCAGTAGAATATGCTTTCCAGAAGCACTGCACCATCAGCGCTCACCGCAGCGCTTGGGAAAACATGGACAAGGACAACTCTGGGTCAAAATGTAGTTCAGAAGGTTGGAATCAATGAAGTTTTAGGAGTATCCCTCACATTTTCCTTTTTGTGTATGAATTAAGTGTGATATGATGAAAATCCGCATAAAGAAGTCTTTAAAAGACTTTCAGTAAATATGAAGTCTAAACGATAGGCGTTTTCATAGTTCCAGCTGGCACATTTTTCTTACTGGTTTACAAAATAAAGGTGTGTCTTATAATTGCTGACGTTTGAGAGTCCATGAAATACAGAACTCTCCTCACTAGGCCGGTGCTGGGGTGGAACCTGGGGGAATCTGCATTTTAAAATTTCCCCAAGTATGACTCAGCCCAGTCATCTGGCAGGTTCAGGGAGGCCCCTGCTCTGTGCTACTTGGTCAACCCTCAGAACTACTCAGCACAATTCGTCAGGCCAACTGGGGCAGTGAGAGAAAATCAGTCTCGTTACTTCAATTTTTAAAAAATTTGAGCAACTTTACAGGAAAATTTAGAACCCTTGACAAATAGTAAACTATTTTCATCTTTCCATTTCATTTCTGATTTTTTTTATAAAGCTGCAATTGCACGTTCATCTATTTTGTGTCCTCATTGATCAATTTCCATTCCCACGGATTAGCACGACTACACCATTACATTTCAGTGGCTCTGTGGTCTTTTGTTCAGCTGATAAGTCATCCCAACCATTCCATTCCCCTGCCATCAGACATTTATATTAGTACTGTTGAGACTGATTTTGTTTGTTCTCCTACCATAGATGAAGAGCTGTTACAGCTTATCACATTATTAGATTGAGTCAAGACTTAGAGAGGATAATTTAGCGACACCAATGTGTAAAAGTGTACCTAGTCCCCTAAATTCTAGGTGACAGCAGGATTTGCTGGGGAGGGTGGGCAGCTAAAGCACTCACTCTTTTTAGCACCAAAAAACTGCTTCATAGCTCCATCTACTGACAAGGCTCTGAGCCTCACACAGACGTCGCTGTTGATCCACGCACAGAAAACTTGCCCAGTCCTGCCAGCCCAGCACCGCATTCCCAGGCCTCCACCTGCACGTCATGACCCAAGCAGAATGTCCATATTTCAATGGGGGCAGCAAACTTGATACCGGACTAGAAAACACCCCACAGGTAAACAAGTGAAACATCTGTTCAGTTTTCAAACACTAACATAACTCCTGTGGGTGCAGGCGGGCAGCAGGATAAAGCATGACTCCAAATCATAACTCCATGTGGCACAAACACCAGCACCATAAGCTTCGTTCTGTTTTCAAATTTGCCTCTTCACATGCACTCTTATAAAAGAAGTCTGTTACATTAATATTTACTAAAGATTGTTTTTCCTTAAAATTAAAAGAAGGGGTACTGTATTCCCATATATCATTTTTAAGTCATGGGACCAGTTGTTAGATAAGATGCTCTAAGTCATAGGAAGATGATTTGCAAAGATGCCTCCTGCCCCCGCTCCCATTTTTAGAAAAGAATTCAGTAACACATTCAAATTTTAAAGGCCAAGCTAGTGCTCTCAATTTGTTTCAAACTTTGAGGCAAATAGAGAGAGAAAAACAACCCATGAAGTAAAAGTCAGAATGTAGAAAAGGCTTATCTTAGCATCCTCTAGGCAAACAGCGTGGACAACTGACAGCCTGGACCCAACCCCCCCCAGGCCCTGTTCCCACCAGCGGCCAGGCAGGAGAGACCTGGCTACAGGCTGCCCTCGAAAGCCACTGCCGCACCCCAGGTCATGTCCCCTTCCCCAGAGGTGCCAGCTTCCACCTTGGCTCTCAGGAGATGCTAATGGCGTCTCCAAGACAGCTTCTGAGAGAAAGAGAGTCCACACACGACAGACAAGATTGGGAGAGGAGGAGGGTGGATGAGCCACATTCCTCCCACTGCAAAGGCTGTGCCGCCTTCATGCGCATCACTTCCAAGCGTTCAAAATCAGCTCACCTCCTGAGACATGAGACAGAGTCAAGGCCAGCGAGGCCTCGAGTTTGACAAGGTGGTGAAGACAGCGGAAAAACACTGGGCTCCTTTCCAAACCTGGCTCTTCCGTGAACCAGCTGTGTGAGCTTAGACCAGTCACCTAAACCCTGGGCCCGCCTTGCCATCTGTAGATGGAGGCAAAACCAGCTCATCCTGCGCCCAGGTCACTGTATCTAGTTGCCACTTGCCTACTTGTGACTCAACACCCCAGCTGTGGCTTCTGGCTCCTCCCTGAGTTGGTGGGGTATCACTTCTGGCCACTCAGCTGGCTCCTGTTTCATGCAGGAAGACGTTTCAGGAGCAAGGGATGGGAATGGGTGGTGAGATGAAAATACCTGGAGACAAGAAGCTGTCCTTTGCCACGTGGAAAATCAGCCCCCTCCACGCAGGGGAGACCATGTGGACCCAGCTCAGGGTCAGCTCATTCCTGAAGGTTTCAGTGTGAGCCACGCAAACCTGGCAATCGAGCAGCCCTAGGAAGAGAACCCACTCAGAGGATCTTTACCTATACAGGCAAGTAGTTAGTAGAATTTTCATACCAGGAAGCAAATGCTCTATTTGAGCAAGTACAAAGCAGCATCTTGAACCAGATACAGAGGGTCACTGACTTACAATGGTTTACGATTTTTTTTTATTCTACCATGATGCAAAAGCGATACACTCAATAAAAACCATGCTTTGAATTTTAGATTTTAATCTTCTCCCAGGCTAACAATATGCAGCCCAATCCTCTCTCACAATGCTGGACAGGGCAGTTCCCGGTCAGCCACACAATCAAGAGAGTCAATAACCGATACAATTACAACCGTTCTGTACCCAGACGACCGTTTGGTTTTTCACTTTCAATACACTATTCAATCAATTAGATGAGATAGCCAACACTTAATTATCAAATAGGCTTTGTGTTAGATGATTTTGCCCAACTGTTGGCTAATGTCTAAGCGTTCTGAGCATGTTTAAGGTAGGCGAGGCTAAGCTATGATGTTCAGTAGGTTAAGTGTATTAAACGCATTTTCAATTTACAATGAGTGGGTTTACTGGGACGTAATCCCACTGTAAGTGGAGGAAGATCTGGAATCCACGGAGAAAGCTGAAAGAGGCTTGGGGAATCAACCAGCTTCCTCAGGGGGTCATATGCCAAGGGCTGCTGCAGCTATCAAAAACCAAAACTATGTGGGAGTCCTGAAGGGGCCAGAAATAAGCCTAGCAGCACACTCTGTACTTTCACGGACCTGGCCTGTGCTCTCCTGGACCCAAAGCAGTGGTGACATCAGTGAATAACACGTGGGCCCCTGCAGCCAGGGCCCTACTCCCAGCCACTGCCTGAATAACAACTGGTGAGATGATCCCAGGGGTGTGCAGCTGCAGAGGAAGTGAGAAATCGCTGAGGAGCCAAGGGAAAGGATTGAAGCTCCAGAACTCATCCTTACTTTAACCAGAGCAGCTCTGTTTGTCATGTTTTAGATTTGGGGTTCCTGCATAAACAAAGAGGTCTGCTAAACGCTGAAACCTCTGATCTAATCCAACCCTTCCAATGATGGCTGGGAAAGAAGCTGGGAGTCTGCCCATCAGTAAGAGACCTGGAATTTTCAACTGTTCGGCCAGCAGAGCTGGGCACAGCACACACACACACCAGGACAAGCTTCTCTCGTGAGTCAACTTATGATGAAATCTCCAGGAACAACTAATAGAAGCTATTCCTGCCTGCATACTGACAGACAGAAGAAAAAATGTTTAATGTATCCTACCTTAATGTTTCTTATTCACTTAGGAACTGGATTCACTTACTTTTCATTTACATATAGTCTTAAAACTACAAACTACTCCGTTTATGCTTTGTTATAAGCAGTGCTCAGAATCTGACACATCAGTACAGATGCCCCAGTTAACTTGTTCCTCAAGTCCAGTCACCCTGTCTCTTGCTACTAAACATCTGGCACCTTCTCTCAAGGGATGAGGAGAGAAGCCCGGATCCAAGTGACCTCTAATCCCAGAACACCAGCACATGTCATGAACAGCAGCCCAGCAGGAGGACCAGCTCCCGGATCCATCGCGGTTACTCCAAGACTTAGCAAGCTGCCTCCCTCTCCCTCAAAGTGCAGGTCCTTCCTCCCAGATTTCCACACAGGGCCAGGGCTATTCTCAGGCTGCTCCTGGAAATCACAGCTAAGAGCAGAAACCAGCACCAAGAATCAGCATGAGGAATACATAAGCCACAAGGGTGTATTGTACAACACAGGGAACACAGCCGGTACTCTGTAGTTACTATTAATGGTATAACCTTTAAAAATTGTGAATCGCTGTATTGTATACCTGTAACTTGTGTAAAATTGGACATCAACTATACTTCAATTTTTAAAAAAATAAAAAACAATCAGCATGAGAATGCCTGTTCACACATCCTGAGGCCGCCTGAATTTTCTTTGCCCTATTCCACAGCTGCTGTCCATCCCCGTGTCCCATGTCACAGCAGAAGTGACATTTGAACCTGGCTTTGCAACTCCAGCTCTTCTCTCCCAGGATGGCAGAAACCCAATAAAGCAACCTCAATCCTTTTTCTTTTTTTTCTGTGAAATTTATTGTTTCCACATTAAAAGATTTTTTTGAGGGGGAGTATTTTTTTTTTAACCACGTGATGATCCTACACAGCTGCCCAGAGTAGGACACCATCATAAGTCTTTAACATGCCATATGAGTTCTGAATAAATAAAAGCTACAAAGCCCAAGTTATATACAAATATCTTAGGCAATAATGTTTACAAACCTATGTACAATAAAACAAATGTAAACAGTAAATGCAGCATGAGAGTAATCAAAGGATGCACAGGGACAACCACTTATGGTCGGTCTGCCCCCAGGAGCTGGCACCAGCCGGCCCCTGGAATCAGGCCGCTCAACCCTTCCTAACACAACTGGACAGGCCCTCTGAAAACAAAACAAAAACACTCTGAAGGTGTCATTTAACTAAAGGACCAGAGAGCTGGCGAGGAGGCTGCTGCCACCACCCTCTGCCCCGAGTCTCAGGCACATGGAGGAGGACCTGCACGTGCCCAGGTCCCAGAAGCTCCTGCCACCTGGGCTCAGCCAGGCATTCTGCTGCTCTGGGAGGCTAGTCTATGGAATGGTAACTGCTAAAGTAAAGCCAGAAGGTGCAGAAAATGTTCCCTAATTCAGTGACCTTCCTGACTCTTCGCCAGCAACAGGCCCAAACCGTGGGGGTGGAGGTGGGGGACACATGATCCATGAGCACTGGAGATGCTTGGGTGGGAGCTCAGGAGGAGAGCACATGTCGACCTGATTTGGGCGAGAACCTCTGGAAGATCTGCAGTGTCCTAAACGTAACTAAATCCTATCAGTACAGCAGGGAGGGGGCTATGAGGCAGGTGTGATGAATGGGTACTTCTGCATCCAGTGACCAAGTAATACGTGTATGTATCACCTTGTGACCCACAAAAGTGCAATCATGTGAAACCAACGGCACTACGGCGAGAAGAGAAAATAGCCAGTATTGATGTCGCGCAGAGTCCTGGGGCTGGGCAGGGCCCAGCAGCCGCCACTGCATGCAGCCTGCCCTCTGCCAGCCGTGGGGAGGCGGACGGAGGGGCACGAGCTGGGCCCGGGCACCGAGGGGTGAGGCGTGGGTGTCCTGGGTTGTTGCAGGAGGGCGGGAGCCCCGACCTGGAGGCCAGGCACTCACACGCTGAGAGGCAGCATACCCGGTGCTGACGACGGGCGCGAGGAGCCCAGAGCGGGAGGAGGAGAAGCCGGGTCAAAGCCGTTTACTGCCCTGTGGGGGTGGCCAGAGCAGAGAAGGGAAGGGAAGAGAAAGAGAGACTGTCATTTAAAATCACTCGACACACAGCGAAATTCATTTGCTCTCTACAACTATTCCTCTTCCCGGCCTAGAGCAGAATCCTGATGGCCCAAGGGAGAGAGCTGTCTAGAGAGCATGAGCCGGTGAGAGAGTTGAGAAGCCCATGGTCCTGGGGGTGATGAGGCTACTGCTCCCTTCTCGGCAACTTCATCACACTGGCCGCGGCAGCCACAGCCCTGATCGATTTCCCAACAGAGCAGGTTAAACGTCTACCAGTAGGGAACTACCTAAAGAAATAGCGGTACAAACCAACAAGGAAATATCATACAGCCATTAAAAACACATTCCAGGGTTCTTAACAGCACGGAAAATATTCCGAATGTAATTAACGCTAGGTGGAAAAAGCATCAGGTTACCAAACTGGATATGCTCCATAATATGAAGGCCAAAAAGTGAGTAGTACATATTCTGGACTACAGCCCCTTATACAGCTAGACATTACCATCCAGAGCTAAATCTAGAATGTGTGGACACACACTCGCACTCCCACACATGCACAGAAGGAAAATGTAACAAGTTACTCTTCTCCCCTCTGAGTTGTGGGTAAATTTTATTTACTACTTTATACTTTTCTGTTGTTTTCCAAATCTCCTACAATGTACAGGAACATGTTAAATAAGGGGGAGAAAAATAACTTTTTAAAATTGTTCAGCAAGCAAAGCCAGATGGGTAGGCTTCTCTGCCACCTTGTGAGACACCAGCCCCGCCCAGCACAAGCGCCTGCAGCCAGGACCCAGCCCCGCCCCAGCCCCAGCGCCCAGCAGCACAGCCTCAGGAAGCAATGAGGGAATGAGTGCAAGGCCTGCAGCCCCTCTCAGGACACCACTCCAGCCCCTCCATACGGACAAACTTCCTAGGAAAATGTGTCCCACTCACAACCTGGGAGATGCCACCAAGTGCAAGGGGCCAGACTGCCCCACACGTACCCACCACTGTCCCCACCGGCCTACTCATCAGAGGGGCCCAGGGAGTTGAATACAGACTCATGGACAGAGGTTCTCTTAAAAAAACAAAACACAGACAAATTCCCCACCAAGATCAAGATGACAGTTTCATACACTGAAGAGGTGAGGGCAACCTCCTGGAGAAACAGGCATGCAAAGAGACTTGACTAATGACCCTTGACTACTTTGAAGAACAGTTAACATCTGAAGAAACTAACCTGCGTATAGATTTTGAGTTGGAAATCATGCTACCCACACAGGCCAAGAGCAACAGAAGGGGCTCTGACCAGTGCCATCTCTCCCTGTTGTCCATCTTTCCACCTCAGTGATGCACACTCAAGATTTTCTCTTTTCTCTTTGGGCTGGGGAGGTCTGATATTCGAGCTTCATCACATTTGAAAACTTCAAATCATCCCTCTCCATCCTCCAAGGCTGTATGCCTTTGCCTCTTCTGGGGACAGAGCTCACATCCTACATGCCACTGTAGCCCTCAAATAATAAGCCACTTGTCTGTCATTTGTCTGCCTGGTCCCAGAGCCCTGATACCTGCCTCTCCTAGAACCTCAGGGAGAACTAACTAGGCAGAGGCCTCACAAACAGCTTCAGCTTTCCACCTGTGAACATCAGATTCCCAGCTGCACAGAGCATGGCAGAAGGCAGGGCTACAGACAGTCCCCAAAACTCGGCAGAAAGGGAGCACTGCTGGGTGCCAAGAAGAACCTGGCACCTGCTCCATAGGGTGTGCAAAAGCAGCAAATGTGAGGATGGCTCCACATGCAGGTTTAGGACTGAGATTCCTGCATTTTCAGGAACGGACCTTTAAGGAATGTTAAGTTCATCCCCATTGTTATACTGCCAAGGAAACAAAAGTAGGAGAAGGTCCAGCCATTCACCTGAGTGCACGCTGTGAGCTTGTCAATGGGGAGCTGGGCCCACAACCTGCCTCCAGATGCCCAGGCCATTATCCTTTCTCAGTTTCCTCCTGGCCCAGGGACACCTGACAGGCTCCAGTGAACAAGCACGTTGGTGCTCCCACTGCAGGTTGCTCTAATGGGAAAAATAAGCAGTGCGATCCAAAATATAAAGGGAAAACAAGAAACTAGATAAAGTAGCTTCTCTGTGTGGACAGAAATGGGAATTCTGGATTTGAAAGTTCAATGGGAGAGAGAGAGAATAACAATCCACCAGGGTCTTACCTAGCACCCCTCTTTGAGTCAAGAATTAGTAAGTAAAAGACCAGGAGGAAGGAGAAAGCTGAACCTAGAGGCAGAATTATCAGTCTGGTGAGGTCCCTTGAGGGAACCGCAAAGCTGTGCAATGAGGAAAGGTTTCCAAGAAAAGAAACACCTCCATACTCACCACATTTGGTTTTAGGGAGCAGCAAAAGAGCCGAAGGGCAATGTCCCAGTGGACAACACAGGACTGAATGGAGAAAGAATGGGCAGGGATGGAGATACAGATCTGGGAATCATCTATGTAAAAAAGGTTCCAAAAGCTATAAAATTTCCTGATCATACCACAAAAATCTAGTGTAAGAGTCTGAAAAATAGAGAATCCAGCTAAGACAAGGAACTAAGGTGAGCTGTAAATGGCAACAGAAGACGTGAGAGAGGGAAAAGAGCCAATGAATATTTAGAAGCTGGTCAGGAGGAGAATAAATTTAACACGATACAGATAACGCATGGGGGCTAAATCTGTCAAAGCAAGGACAGGTACACCTGAGAGGGCAGGAAAGAAAAGGCAGAGACTGGGCTAGAGCTAATTCAGGAGAGCAGGCAGACACACTCCAGACCCCAGTCTTCCAGCTATATGGAGAAATGGAAGCTCAGCACAGTGCCAGTCCTCGGCCCAGGCTCTGCAAACTGAAATTTACATTCCTCAAAAGGAAGGCAGCCCTTATACACGTCCCCATCTACCATTCCAGTGTCCTGAGGGAACACAAGCGTGAGCACAGAGGAAAGTCCCCACACAGCAAGAATCCAATATCATTAGTGCTGCTTTGAGAAAACAGAAGACACTGGGTAACAGGAAGCACCCCAGGCCCGTGGAGGCAGTCATATGCGGGTCCCAGGGCCTGGCAGTGACCCCCAACCCCCTGCCCCAAGACGGCTGGCGTCATCTCTACCACACTCCCACCTGTAACAGAAGTACCATCAGAGCACTTCACAACCGCCCCAGGACCACTACAGCTAACTTGTTTTTGTTTTGCACAACTGAACCAATAATAAAGTTGCACAGTCAAATCAAACAGGAACTTGAAAGCTCACTCATGGGCTGGAAGTTGGTTAAAGCAGTCAGCCCCATGCAGTTAGTAAAACCAGTTTGTTAATGTTAACTTGTCTTCCACCACACACCATGATTAAGAATGAAAGAGCGCAGCAAACAAGTTCAGTTACCCATGAACAACGTGGGAAATATGACTTTTTCTTGCCTAGTAAAAGAAAGGAAAAAATATTAAACAGTAATACAAATACTATTTTCAAACCATGCCCTAAAATTAGTCTACGTTCACCTATACCCAACCCAAAAGAAATCAGACTGGCTTACAAAATTAGGACAAGTGATACGTAAGAAGCTAAACAAAAGCTATGGAGAAAACAAGAACATTTTTGAGAGAACTCAAATGACTGCACTGCATGTGAACTGGTGTCCTTTTGGATGAGTGATATGAACGGCTGGTAGCGGTTGGAGGAAACAGCAACAAAAGGGAAGTAGGCCCAGCAACCCGCATTTTAGGGACTGAAGTGATCACAGACTAGATAAAATCCTGACTCCAAGAAGCCCTCAACTAATCAGAACTTAAAAAATATTTTCAAATCCCATAAAGCAATACATAACAATAAGGCTTTATGTTTACGTGGTAAGCCGTTGCTTCATCTCAAGATTCTGAGGGAAGGAGGAGCACACAGTGTGTACACACACATTCAATACGTGCACACGCACGCAAACCAACTTTGGCAAACTCTCCCAAACAGTAACAGTGCTACAGACAGACTCCTTAGGAGTGAGAGGCGGCAGGCAAGTTCTAGAGCCAAAGGCTTTTTTTAAATGGAAAGCTTCTTCTCATGCTGAAACTACAAGCTACACTTCTACAAGAACTGTCATTTATGCTTTTAACCAGCCAGGTCTAATAATGGAGCTGGGAGTGGGGATATTTACCCCTTCCTTTTGCAGCAGGTATATGCCATCATGGTTTTTATCTAGTCACCAGGTGAGCAGGAAGGAAGGCCAGAGGTAAAAAGCCAGGCAGGCCAAAAGGAAGCCAGAATCAAAGCAAAGCAGCCAGGAAGTAAGAACATAGCAAAACCCACACGAGAGTTATCCTCAGGAAGACGGCAACTACAAACGTAACTCGAGCAATAATAGGTTAATATTTGAGTGTGCATATACAATCCATTTACCATATAAACTAAACACTTGAGAAAAAGCCAACCCACAAAACCATATTTCATTCTTAACAGAAAGGATACAATTAAAAATTTGTTCTGGGCTTCCCTGGTGGTGCAGTGGTTGGGAGTCCGCCTGCCGATGCAGGGGACACGGGTTCATGCCCCGGTCCGGGAGGATCCCACATGCCGCGGAGCGGCTGGGCCCGTAAGCCATGGCCGCTGAGCCTGCGCATCCGGAGCCTGTGCTCCACAACGCGAGAGGCCACAGCAGTGAGAGGCCCGCGTACCGCCAAAAACAAAAAACAAAAAAAAAGACACTCCTCAAGGTTGCCTGGAACTCCTAAACATGTGGAATATTAATTTTATTCTTACCACCACTGAGGAGCCCCAACGGTTAGAATAGTTCTGATTTATATGTTGATATTTTAGAATGTGCTTTTAATGAAATGTGTATAAAGAAAGCCCTGATTTATATATTATTTTAGAATGTGCTCCTTAATGAAATACACATACTTCAAGGTAGAATTCTCTTAAGGGAGAGAGAAAAACCAGAACACTCCACTCCACAAGGATGAACAACAAAAAGCTTTTTAGAATGGACTATGTATCAAATCAAGGCCTCCACAAATGTGCCACTGTCACTGAGGAAAGCAGAAAATACAAGTTCCTTTAAGAAGTTGTGAAAATTTCTATATTGCTTTCACAGAACAAGGACAAGCTGCCTCTATGACTCAAAGCAGAGACAGTGGCAAGGGACCACTGGTGCCTCAGTTGCTGCTCCACTACCAGCTACCTTAAGTCAGCATCTCAGAGCATAGGTCCTAACCAGTTACCTAGACCAAGGCACACCTGTACAAGAGTATATGCATGCAGCATTTTGTTGGTTTGTTTTTTTTTAATTGAGTAGAACAGTATGTACTGACACAGAAAGATACTGGCAATATAAGTCACCACAGGCATATTGCAGAGCAGTATTTAAAGTATCCCAGGGACTTCCCTGGTGGCACAGTGGTTAAGAATCCGTCTGCTGGGCTTCCCTGGTGGCGCAGTGGTTAAGAATCCACCTGCCAATGCAGGGGACATGGGTTCAAGACCTGGTCCGGGAAGATCCCACGTGCCACAGAGCAACTAAGCCCATGCGCCACAACTACTGAGCCTGCGCTCTAGAGCCCACAAGCCACAACTACTGGAGCCGCGTGCCTAGAGCTTGTGCTCCGCAACAAGAGAAGCCACCACAATGAGGAGCCCGCACACCACAATGATGAGTAGCCCCCGCTCGCCGCAACTAGAGAAAGCCCGTGTGCAGCAACGAAGACCCAATGCAGCCAAAAAAAAAGAATCCGTCTGCCAATGCAGGGGACACAGGTTCGATCCCTGGTCCAGGAAGGTCCCACATGCCGTGGAGCAAATAAGCCAGTGCTCCACAACTACTGAGCCTGCGCTCTAGAGCCCATGAGCCACAACTACTGAGCCCACATGCCACAACTACTGAAGCTCATGTGCCTAGAGCCTGTGCTCTGCAACAAGAGAAGCCACCGCAGTGAGAAGCCCGCGCACCGCAACAAAGAGTAGCCCCCGCTCACCGCAACTAGAGAAAGCCCGCGTTCAGCAACGAAGACCCAACACAGCCAAAAATAAATTCATTAATTAAATAAATAAAACAAAGTAGCCCATATGTTTTTAAAAGTGTATAGCAGATGCATAAAAATATGATTTTACATGCCTAGGAATAATTATAAGGATGCAAAAACAGTGTGAAAACAGAAAACACTTTTTACTTTATATACTCTGTACCAACTGACATATTTTTTGTATTAAGGATGTACCACTGCTTTAATCTTACAACAATTTTTTTAAATTCTCAATTCCCCAAAAAACATCTTCACATCATACAAAACTTGTATCTCCTAAACTGTACTTGATCCAGTGGTTTTATATTTTTCTAATATCTTCAGACAGAAGGTTTGTTGAAGAGTTCACACATACATGATCATCATGTTCTCTTTTGCCAAGAAAGTCTACTAGCCTGCAAGCACCTTGAGCACAAGGACCGTATCACAGTCATCTTTAATCCCCAGAGCCTAACACAGCTGCCTTTCAAGAGTCTGCTTCCCAGGACAGAAGCTTCAGAGTCAGGGTTCCCAGGGCAACAGACTCCATGGGGACTAGAAGACAACAGACTTCATGTCCCCTAAGATCTCAATGATAACGCTTCAGGTAGGTTTATCAAACTGAGTTTATCTTTTCAAAGTTCAACAAGCTCACTTAATAATGGGCAACTTCACTACCCAAAAAATTAACGTTTAGAATTTCCAAGACTTACCCTTTGTCGAAGAAAGACGTGTGCCCTGATCGAGAGAACTTCGTGCCGTTGCTATTCATCACCCCACAGTTAACATTCCCTGAAATATAGGATTTTCGTGATGCTTGGTCCTTTGCAAAATTCCTGCAAGCTGCTAATTTGGATTCTAAAGCCTACAAAAGGAAGAAGGAATGATTTGGTTGTCAAAACTGTAGCTGCACATAAAAATTTGCATTTCAAACCATTTCTATTTCAAGACTCAAATCTTATTCTTTCAGTTGATAATGGTGGCTGTTTAAGCCATATCAATCACCTTTCTAATAGAAAGAGGGAATATTTATGCTGACTCCCTTTCTAATGAACTCAGAATATATACTTCTCTCAGTATTACTGAGGGATACAGATATAATCCTCACCTTACAACTAAGAAAAATGTGGCACGGTATACAGAGATGTATCCCAGGTCTCTTGGCCCTATCCACTGTTTCTTTCTAAGTTGTGGACTGTTAGCTGGCTAGTTGGGTGTGTGCGTGTGTGTGTTTTGGGAGCAAGCATTTTAAAGAATGCAAAAACATCACTTGAAAACATTTTAAAGCAGCCAATTCTTTCTTTAGGGCTTCAGGTTAGTCATTTCTACTGTATCAAAATGGATAAGTTCATTTACAACACCTCACATGAAGTTAAATGCTATTCTACTTCTGAGAGCACACTGTAAAATGTCTAATACCCTTCATCTATAATTAAATAATTCACCTGAAAATGACACCAGCCCATTAGCATTCATCTCTAAACTGAGTGCCTGCTTAGCACCTGGTCAGTGCCAGGCTCTACAAACCAACAGATGACATGAAGAGAAGTTTCTCATCAATTTCCATTACTCACAAATATCACCAACTCCCCCTTTCCCACAAACACTTTACCAAATCAAACCCCTCTCCCCGAAAAAAAAAAAAAGGACATAAAATAGTCCAATCCTATTATCCGTGACACTAAGGAATGTGGAATACATAGATAAATTAAACCCACAGGGACTTCCCTGGTGGCACAGTGGTTAAGAATCCGCCTGCCAATGCAGGGGATGTGGGTTTGAGCCCTAGTCAGGGAAGATCCCACATGCCGAGGAGCAACTGAGCCCGTGCACCACAACTATTGAGCCCACGTGCCACAACTACTGAAGCCCATGTGCCTAGAGCCTGTGCTCCATAAAAAGAGAAGCCACCGCAACGAGAAGCCCGCACACCACAATGAGAAGCCCGCACACCACAATGAAGAGTAGCCCCCATCACCGTAACTAGAGAAAGCCCGCACGCAGCAACGAAGACCCAACACCGCCAAAAATAAATACATAAAATAAATTTATTTTAAAAAAATTAAATCCACAGATAACATATTCCACTCTGAGAACCCTCCCCCCATAATTTCAACAACAGCTATTAAGACAGAGCAACAAAAACAGACTGAAACTTCTTTCTCTTCTCCTTTCTTAAAACAAAAGTACCATGACCTAGTAAAATAACAACGAAAGAAGAGAGGTAGTGACCTTGTAGGACAAGCTCTGAATAAGCATTTTTTCAGCATCTTATTAAATAGACACATACACAATAAAAATTGAGAGCCATTAATTTCCTATATTCAAGACACTCATTTATTTGTTCTGATATTTGCTGAGAATCTATCATATAACAGGCACAACTTGTGTTTGAGGTGTCGGTGAGACAGCCTAATGCAAGCACTGGGTCTGGCACTCAAAAACAGTGGCCTAGAAATCAAGATTCAGACCACATCCACACCAAGCAGGAGATGAAACTGTGGTTGTGAGGAAGCTCAGAAAGGTAAGGACAGAACTCTGAGCAAAATCAACACCGAAAGGGTGGGCAGATGAAGACCCAACAAGATGACCAACAGGAATGGGCAGGAAGGCAAGCAGACGTGACACAGCGACACAGCATCAGAAAAGCAGAGGAAAGAAGGCCATTTCAAAAAAATAAGTCAGTGTTGAATATTTCAAGTAAAATTAGGACAGAACAGCATCCCTTGGATTTGACAGCACTGAGATCATCAGTGAGCAATTTGAGTGGAGTGAGCAGGAAACAGAGCCCAGACTAGGCTATCTGGGGAGTGTGTATGCCACCAAAAATGCTAACAATAAATGGAGACATGCTTTCAAAAACTTGGCTGGGAAGGGAAAAGAGAAACAGAATGACAGCTAAAGAGAGACGCAGGGTAAAAGGAAAGAATAGCTGCTTTTATTTTTGCTTTTAAAGTTTAAAAAGTGTATAATATATAATATATAAATATTCGATATAAAGTATAAATAGTAAATATAAAGTATATATATGTAATACATTATATATAAATATTGCATATAAATATTAAAACATATAGTAAAAGTCTGAAGATACAGGAGACATAAAGATGAGAAGGCTGGAAGGAATGAGATCCAAAGCACAGAGGGACAAAATTAGCCATGGGAGGAATGTGATACTTTTACCACTGAGATAAAAAGGAAGAACAGCCACAGAGGTAATAATAGGAGAGTACTAAAAGAAGGTTAAGAGAGGAAAACAAAGTTTAAATAGATGGCCTTGATTTCTCAGTGCAAGAGGATGCAAGAGTGGGAATGGGGCTTCCAGGTGAAGTCAGTGGACAAAGTAGTGTGAAGAAGTAGAAAATGATATTCATAAAAGTATGCAGGGGCTGGAGGATAACAGCAGACCAAAAATTCTAATGACACCTTAAAAGACAAACCGTCAGCTGAATGTGTAAACAATGCAAGGACTTAAGTTCAACTTTCGTGCACCATTTCTAAATAAACTACTTAAGGTACTAAAGCAAAACAGGGAACAAAGATGACAACATGGGGTCCAGGAATAGGCAGAACTAACCCAAGAGTATAATGAAGAGAAATTCAAGGCTGACAGCAGTGCAGCAGCCCTAGAAGCATATCAGAGCACTCAGTAAATAAGAAGCCGGAAGATACAAGATATAGCCAAGAAAGTGTATGTTTCTTCCCTCCACAAGAAAACAAAGGTAATCAGAAATGCTAAGACCCATGATAACAAAAATATCCAATGATATACAAATTATATATGCATACAAAGGCTGAATGTAATTTTAAAAAATAAAAATGGTTGAATTCGTTGAAATGACAGGATTTTAGCTTTTTTCTTTTTATTTATTTCATTGTGATCTTGTAAAAATTGTTTTGCAGTGAAAATAATTAAAAAGATGGCCAATTAAAAAAAATGTTAAGAAAAAGACATACACGTCAACTGTGATACAAATATGAAAAAACCTAATATGGTTTTGAGTAAATAATAGGTAAAGAACAAAATGCCTGAAACACCTGTTGAGCAGCACAAGTAAAACAGCCCTAGAGCCCAGCTCCTCCTCTATGATTATTCAGTAAATAATACACATGTAGGCATAATATTTTAGGTGCTGTTGACTAATTTTCAGAACCAACCAATGGAGAGCTCAAGAAGGGACAGAGACACACACACACAACAGGGAGCTGAGATACAGTCTAATAAATTCAGAAACATAGGTTTAAGCATGTTATTTAAAGTTATAAAAATAACCAACAAAAAATAAAAAATTAGGAGGATGTAAGTTAAATTCCTCATCTTTTTGCTTAAAGTTGTTAAGATACTGAAAAGCAAGCACATTACTTCAAGTTATAGGTTACAACAAATAGGTTACACTATTACAATGCAACTCTTACGACAGCTAGCTTAAAGAAATTATGTTAGGAGTAAGGGAAGGTTACTCTATGTATGAAAGATTTGTACACATTACTTTTTACAGTAACTTTAAAATGCAGATTTACAGTTAATCTGACGGTCAGACAATAATTTTATGAGCCAGAAAAGGTAACAATAGGACCTTCTATCTTGGCCTCTGATTTCTTCTTTATGTAAACTATAATGCAATTTCTGCTTTTTTCAGAGTCACACACACACAAAAATAAGTGAATGGGCAGTGGATAGTGGGAAGTTTCATGGGCAGATTATTGAAAAGAGAAATAAAAGTCACTGAGGGAAACAGGAAAGAAAACTGACTAATGCTAGAAATGCTAACTTTATAGTGGCTTAAAAATCCACAAGGTCATATAACTGTTTCCTGTGATCTGGATACAGGAAAGAAATCCAGTTCCTTGACTGATCCAGGCTGCAGGTCTCCTCCATGGCCAAAGAGCCCATGAGTCAACAGTGGCAGAGTAAGTGATCCGTGGGTCACAGATGAGGACAAAGTGAAAGCAAGAGATAAGCGAAAAATCAAAACAAGAGTACTGCTCTCGATAAAGTCAATGAGTAGGTATTACACGGAGTAAAAAACTGAATAAGCACAAAACCAAGTTTAATATTCCAAAAGCCGAAATGTTCTGGAATGCAAGGTTAGAGCCAAGGAGACAGCACAGGAGTTGAGGGGGCCAAGCAGCAGTAAGACATGTATGACTAAGAGAAGAAATTCATGTCATGAGCCAATGCGGAAGTCCTATGAAGAAAAAGCCCGGGGATGACCAGGAGGACAGCAGGCAGAGCAAAGAAAAGGATCAGAGGGCGGTATAAGACACACAGCCTTAGAGGAAGTAGGAGGAATCACGATGTTTTAGTAACAGCCATGGGGAACATGAAGAAGGCCCAGTGGGAACCTGGGAGCCAAGCGCAGGGACCCTCTGCAGAGGCACTGGCAAGGCTGAGCCCTGGGGGTGTTCACAGCCTCAGCTGGTCACTGGATGCTCTTGCTTCTCAGCTTAATTACAGACTTTACCACAGGAAGGTATCCTTTTTTCTTCCCTTGCTGCAAATTAAGAAATAATTCATTACCTTGGCAGCTGAAACACCTAGTGATAAATAATTAAAGGCTTACCCCTACTTTCCGTAAGAGGTCCCCCACGATGTTTAGTGCTGATATCCTAGCTGAAGGAGTCAGTGGACTGGTACCAAAGCCGTTTGGTATAGCTAGAGAAAGATAAAAGGTGACTGATTACTCTTGCAGTTCCCTTTACATTTGGGTTTTGATATTACAAAGCAGTATACACTCAATGAAAAATCAATATAGTATTCCAAACTGTGGATAAAGCATAAAGTGGAGATACCACAAATATCTCCATTGGATGTTTAGATTACATCCAATTTTTCATCATTACAAACAATGCTAAAAGGACATATACCCTTAAAACATCTAGACAAGTATTTCTGGAGAAGAGCTTCCTAAAAGTAGAACTGCGGAGTCAGAGAATATGCCCATATTTTCACCTTAGTATCCTGCCAAAATGTTCTCTAGGTTGTGCCAATGTCAGCAGTCTGAATGGTAATGCCCTCAATAGTATTAGACATCTTTTTTTCCTGCCAATTTGATAGTCACTTTGTTTTAATTTCTGTTTCCCCAATCAAAGAGTCATTTGAATCTTTTTTTCTGGAAGTCATCTGTTTAATCTCTGCACTTTTTTCTACTGGGCTGTCTTTAATCAATTTGCAAGGGCACTATACACTATAGATATTCACCTTTTCTCTTATATATGTTGTACTTCCCAGTGTGACATTTATCTCTTCAACTTTGTGGTTTGCAGGGGAGCCTTGGGCTTCCTCACTGCAACATAATAAAACTGTTCCCCACATTTTCTCCTAATGTTTTTCTAAAAAACTTTTCACCACTTAGATTAGTAAACTCATCAAATTACTAAATTTTCCCCCTCCAAATGGATATCTAATTGTTGTAATACCATTTAGTGAAAAAGACTTATCTCATCTGAAATGGCACTAAAACCACACACTGAATTCTCTATACATTTCAAGTTCCATTAAATTATTTGTCTATCCTACCAGAAATATGCTGCTTTAGTTATATAGTGTTAAAATATATTTCCTAAAGGGCAAAGCCTCTTCTTGTTACTAACCTATTTCAAACTTTTATTGACTATTCTTGCACATATACTCTTCCAGAGTAACTTTATTAAAAATAAAGTTTTTATTTTTATTTTATATTTGGCTGCATTGGATCTTCGTTGCTGCACGTGGGCTTTTCTCTGGTTGAGAGGAGCGGGGGCTACTCTTTGTTGCGGTGCGCGGGCTTCTCACTGCGGTGGCTTCTCTTGTTGTGGAGCACGGGCTCTAGGCACACGGGGTCGGTAGTTGTGGCTCACGGGCTCTAAAGCGCGGGCTCAGTCGTCGTGGCGCACAGGCTTAGTTGCTCCGCGGCATGTGGGATCTTCCCGGACCAGGGCTCGAACCCATGTCCCCTGCGTTGGCAGGCGGATTCTTAACCACTGCACCACCAGGGAAGCCCCAGAATAACTTTAAAAAGAACTTCACAACTTTAAAAATCCTATCAGGATTTTTATTAGAAATTTAAACTACTGATTGATTTGGGGAAAATGGATATTGCAACTAAATTAAGTCTTCCTATTCTGAATCATGGTATTTAACATGATATTCATTCACATCTTCTTTCAAGCCCCTCCGCAAAGGTTTTCAGTCGTGCACATTTCTTCAATTTACTTTTGAGATATTAAAGCATGGCGGTTAAGAGCTCTGGAGCTAAACTGCTAGATACACATCCATCTCTGCCGTTAACTGTGTGACCTTAAGTAACCAAATGTGAAAGGGGGCTAATACCAGCACTTAAATCATAAAGTTGTTGTTAAGTTTAAATTCATTAATAAATTTTGTTTTTTGGCCGTGCCTCGCAGCAGGCAGGGTCTTAGTTCCCTGACCAGGGATTGAACCCTCGCCCCCTGCAGTGGAAGTGCATAGTCCTAACCACTGGACTGCCAAGGAAGTCCCAAAATTCATTAATAAATTTTTTAAATGCAGAGCACACAGTAAGTGCTCAATAAATGTTACTATTATTTTTATCTGCTTTCTACAGAGTTGTAATCAGCAAGTAAAATGCTTTTGTTGCTGCTGCTGCTACTATCCTTGTCCTCTAGAATATAATCGCACTGAAGGTAGCAACTTAGTCTTATTAGACCACTATCCTCCCCACATCCTGAGTAATACTTGACACATAACAGGTGCTCAACGTGATACAAATAAACTGCTATACTTCTCTTGGCAGGAATTTCTGGATCTTGTTTTTCCCTATTCCCCTCGAATTTTATATTTTAGGTATTATTAAATCTGTACGTTTATGGTAAGTTGTCTTGAATGCTTTTTGGAAACAGGCATTTTATCAATAAAACACAATTAGAGCTAGACCGCTTCGTAGAGATCAGCTCTTCAATCTTGCCACTGATTTCTCTAACCTCTGGCTACTCACTGTGTCTGTGCAGACTTGCTTGTCATGAAACGGCAGCTTTTAGGTCAGTGAAAGCTCATGCTATCAGTTCCAATCAAAAAACGTGTCTGTCTGGACAAATATTACTGCCTTAGGGTTGACATTATCTTAACTGTGCCAGAGCAAGCTCTATGTCCTACTAACACCCCCCTGAGGCTCCAGACTATTCTGACTAGTGCTCAACTAAAGAATTTTCAGAATTTATCTGCATAATTCTAATTAGTAACATAAAAGCAAAGCTTTGTTAATTCTCAAATGCTAGTAATTCTAAGGTCCTCAAATACACAAGCAGCCATTCCCAAAAAAACGAGAGCTTCTGATGACTGCTGTAATCTATATACTGCCTGCTCTGTATTCTCAGCAGCAGAGTCAGCACATACCAGTACAATCAATAACGTAACTATACAGAATTTTCACGTACCTTACCTCAGCTCATAAAAAGACGAAAATAGAGTGAATTATCTATTCAAGGGCTACTGAGCACTTGAAATGTGGCCAACGCAATTAGAAACTCAATTTTAAATTTTAATTCATTTAAATCAATAAAAATTTAAAATTTAAATAGTCACATTGGAGTAGCTACTGTATTGGACAGCACAAACATGGAGTGCACTAACCGCCCAGACAGAAACCTTCTTGTATCACTCCGAAAGATGAAGTCCTATATTTCAAAAAAAAGTGTGAAGACAGACAGCTTCCACTGAGGGAGAAGAAAGTATAAGGGGGTGTGGAAGTAGCTGAAATATGATCTCCAAGCTGCAAAAACTAAATAAATCTCAACTGAGAGCTTCAGGGTTCCATTCTTAACGTTCTATCTAGTGACTACTAAATCGTTTTTCAGCTTACCTGGATTTAAAAAAACACCCTGACTGATGGCATAAGGCATATTCTTTCTGTACTATTCATCAGTTACTCTGAACATCACCTATGAAAATGGCAGCTACTGAGGCATGTTATAGAATGGACACGTCCACCCAAGCCAATCTTAGACAAGTCTGAATGGTAACTCAGTGAGTCTCTGTACTTTCTGTGTATAAAGCCTTCTAGTCTCCCATGATATGTCAAGAGGCAAAAGAAATAAAACTGCATTTAAATACAATCCCAAACACAACACCATAAAGCAACTATACTCAAATAAAAATTAATTAAAAAAAAAATACGGTCCCAAAACTTGTGTGTAACAAGGTGGCACAAACAGAAAAAAGCACACACAATAGAAAAAAATTCAAAGTGTTAATAAGAGTTGACTTTGAGCCCTAAGATTGCAGATGGATTTTATTTTTTCTCTTGTTTTTAATTTTTTCTACATGAACATGTATTACTGTTATAGTCAAAAAATAAACTTCCCTTAAAAACCTTTATTAAAATTTCAACTTATTAAGCTGCTCTTGTCTTAAATGTAGCCCTCATCTCACTGTTTCCTACTGAGTTGGCCTAGGAGAACAATGCCTTCTGCTTCACTCAGTGCTAGATTTAACCAACTTTTAAACTAAAATGATTGCTTAGGGACTTCCCTGGTGGTCCAGTGGTTAAGACTCCGTGCTTCCAATGCAGGGGGCATGGGTTCGATCCCTGCCTGGTTGGGGAACTAAGATCCCACACGCCACACAGCATGGCCAAAAAAAAAAAAAATTAAAATGATTGCTTAAACCTTAGCAACTCCTGCTTCACCAGCAAAGCCTCTTAAGTGGATCATCAACCACAGGTTCAAAAAGAAAAGACACTACAAACCTTTTGGTGAAGGAAAACTGTTCTCTGTTCCTTTGCCAACAGGAGTAGCTGGCAAAGAAAGTGATGCCTGGACAGCAGAATCCATCTTTTCACAGTCTAGAGTTGGAGAACTGGGAGCCGACTTTCTAGTTACTTCCTGCTGTCTCTCCCGAACAGCTAGTTCTTGTCTTAAATCTGTAAAATGTTGCAAAAGTAGTAATATTCACTAGAGGAAGCAAGTACATCAAGCAAAGTCGCATCTGAAACAGCATAAAGACACTCTTCCTAAATTACTACTTCTCAAAAATGAATTTCCTATTTAACAACTTTTATTTCCAGGGGAATAAAAATGACAACAACCCTACTGTCTACATGATCATTTAGACTTTAAAAATGCTATAAAGTTAACAGAACAATTATTTATGCCTATATTAAAAAAGAAATAGGGCAGAGTCCACAGTAGAACTCACAGTGAACATATATGACACAAAAATAAATATTCTTTACCAACTCATTTGCATTTATTTTGAAATGATGCTGTAGTCTGCGGATTATTACAAAATCAATGAAATGTATTTTTGTCATTTTAAATGGGCTGGCATTTTTTTTTCTTACTATCCTATGAAATACTTTGTTTTAGAAAGGAAGTAGTCAAAATAGTTGCGAATTGTTTTGTTTTAAAATATTGAATTTTTAACCCAAAATTAGTGTTTTCTTTTCCAGTTATGCAACTGACCTACAGGATACTTGCTTATATTAAAAAAAAAGATACATGGGGCTTCCCTGGTGGCGCAGTGGTTGAGAGTCCGCCTGCCGATGCGGGGGACACGGGTTCGTGCCCCGGTCCGGGAAGATCCCACATGCCGCGGAGCGGCTGGGCCCGTGAGCCATGGCCGCTGAGCCTGCGTGTCCGGAGCCTGGGCTCCGCAACAGGAGAGGCCACAGCAGTGAGAGGCCCGCATACCGCAAAAAAAAAAAAAAAAAAAAAAAAAAAAAGATACAAAGTTACCATACTCCTCGGTATACATCAAAAAGAATTCAAAGTAGGACACCAAGATATTTGCACATCCATGTTCATTATGGATACATGATAAGTGAAATAAGCCAGTCACAAAAAGATAAATACTGTATGATTTCACTTATACGAGGTATCTAGAGTGCAGTAGTCCCTCCCTTATCTGAGGAACATATGTTCTAAGACCCTCAGTGGATGATTTACGTCCACTGAGCGTGATGGTGCAAAATTTCACCCTGCTACTCAGAACAGCACATAATTTAAAACTTATGAATTGTTGATTTCTGGAATTCTCCACTTAATATTTTCAGACTGCAGCTGACCATGGGTTACTGAAACCATGGAAAGCTAAACCTCGGATAAGGAGGGACTACTGTAGTCATACCTAACAACAGTAAGTACAACTGCAGGGCTTCCCTGGTAGCACAGTGGTTAAGAATCTGCCTGCCAATGCAGGGGACACGGGTTCAAGCCCTGGCCCAGGAAGATCCCACATGCCGCGGAACAACTAAGCCTGTGTGCCACAACTACTGAGCCTGTGCTCTAGAGCCCGTGAGCCACAACTACTGAGCCTGCATGCCACAACTACTGAAGCCCGCGCACCTAGAGCCCATGCTCCACAACGAGAAGCCACCGCAATAAGAAGCCCGCGCACCGCATGGAAGGGTCGCGCCTGCTCGCTGCAACTAGAGAAAGCCCGCGCACAGCAACGAAGATACAAGGCAGCCAAAAATAAAAATAAATAAATTTATTTTTAAAAAAAGAGAGAGAGAAAGTAAAACTGCAGTTGCCAGGGGCTGGGGAAGGGAGAAATGGGAATTTGTTGTTCAATAGGCAAAGAGCTTCAATTCTGCAACATGAAAAAGTTCTAGAGATCTACAAAACAATGTGAACGTAGTTTAACATTACTGAACTGTACCCTTAGAAATGGGTAAGATGGTAAATTTTATGTTACGTGGTTTTTTTAAACCAGAATTGTAAACTTAAAAATAGGATAGAGTTAATATTTTATATATTACATAAATTATGAGTTCTTCAGATGAATAAACCCTTCCCCCAAAAAAGGAAAAGTCATGAAGAAAAGCATTTTTAGAAGAGCCAATAAACATTAGCAAAAAGTTTTCAACAAGTAGTAACCAAAGAACTACAAATTAAAAACAATGTGCTATCAATTTTCAACTTTCAAATAGATTTTTAAATAATTTTAAAATCTGTTTTTATTATTCACAATACTAGTAAACACTGTGAGAAGGACACTCAGTCACTGCCAGAGTGTAAAGTTACCAACTTTCTAAAAAGCAATTTAGCAGCATCCATTACAACCATTAAAGATACCTGTATCCTTTGCCACTTCTAAGAATCTAAGAAAATCAAAGATACTCCCCAATATTATGTACAAGGACACTATTTACAGCAAAAAATTAATGACCAATAATAAAGGACCCATCAAAAAAAATCATATATAATAGAATATTATACATTTTTAAAAACCTGTTTCAAAAGATTTTTTTTAATGGCATGGATTACATTCACTATATTAAAGGATAGGAAAAAATATATATGTATATATAATGTGGTTCCAATTATATAAAGGAAAAAAATATACAGGTATGTTTATGTATAGTCACAGGGAAGAGTGGAAAGAAACACACCAAACTCTTAGTGGGTTCTCTCAAGATAAAGGGATTGACAGAGACTTTTAGTTTCTTCTTTACAATATTCTGCATTCTAACATGCATGAAAGAAAGAAAGAGGGAGGGAAGAATTTTAAAAGAAAGTATATATTCTCTATATGTATAATATGTATACAGCAATATGTACACATATGTAATGCTAACATGTGCATGACAAAATTATTTAGGACAAGCAAAAAGGAAAAAATCCAAACAAACCAAGCAGTATATATGCACAGTGGTAATGGTTAAGGCTTTGGGAAACAGACCAGGGCTTGAATCCCTACTGACAACTCAAACTCTCTGTGCCTCAGTTTTCTGACCTATAAAATGGGGATAATAATAGCTACCTCCTAGAGTTGATGATGTAGATATTGAATAAACAGATTCAAAGTACTTAGCATAGTGTTTGACAAAAGCATACAAATGTGTAGCTTTAAAAAGTTGATCCTGAAGCTAGCTTAGCACTCTGGCTCAAGGACAGTAAGGTAATAAATATTCTTTAAGTATATATTTTACCTCTTGCTTCATCCTTTAACCTCTGTACAGAGACCAACAAAGATTCCTTTTCATCAAGTTCACTTTCTAAAAATGCATTTCGTTCAATGGCTTGATTTAGCCTTTGTTCAAAGTCTTCCAATGAAACTATTGTTGCCCTGAAAAAAAACAAATGAGAGTCCACGAATTAAATACATAACATGCAAATAGCTACTACAAAAGGAAACTGTCAGTTTATCTCATGCCATTTCCTGACCTAGAAAGCCTGGCCCAGTTAAAAGAGAATGATCTCGCCCCCTTCTGACCTCTGGTGCATTTAGTGTCTCTACTACCATTTGGGGCCATTCAATGTATTCTTTTGTCTTAAATTCCCATCTAAATTCCTTCAAGTTTCTTAAAGGAAGCCTACTTATCATACAATTTATATCTCCCCATTGGACTTTAAACATGAGTCAATGAAGTTTACATATTTTCAGGAAGAAAACTTCTCAATACTTTTAGAGTATGTTAAGAATTAACTAAGAATTAGTTTAAAACGTGGTCCCAGGTCCCACTCTATTTACTTTCTTCCTACCAAGCTTTTCTTCTTCCCGCATTTCTCATCTTATTTATTCAGCAAACATTGACAGGTACCTGCTATGTGCCCTCTACCCACTATGTGCTACAGAAATAAAACTTCCTAACCTCAAGTTAGAACTCTCAATGCCAGGGGTCCCCAGCAGGAGGTGAGCGGCATGAGTGAGCGAAGCTCCATCTGCCGCTCTCCAGCGCTCGCATTACCGCCTGAAAACCCCCTCCACTCCACCCCCACCCACCCCACCCCCGTCCCTGTCTGTGGAAAAACTGCCTTCCACGAAACCAGTCCCTGGTGCCAAAAATGTTGGGGACCTCTGCTCAATGCCATGTCCAATTTTACCACCTCCCGTCAACTGTCAAAATGCCTATCAATTCCATTTGCCCTCCTCCAACCTTCTGCCCTTGGCTTAATTCTTCATCCATCACCTTGATTACTCCTCAGTGGTCTACACATCTCCTCCTCCCTACTTTCAATTCCTCAGTATTATCTTCCCAAATCACAATCTGATAATAACTCCTTTGTTTAAAAATTCTTAAGGAGCACCTCTTTGCCTACAGAATGACTTTCAAACATAGCTGAGCACAAGGTTCTCCACAACCTGGCCCCAAACATCTTCCAGTCTCATCTTGTTCAGCCATACTGTCTTTACACACTTCAGTCAAAGTGAAATATTAATACCTGATGCACTTTCCTGCCTCTCTGCCTTCGCATCTCTCTCTTGACCGGTTAACATCTACTCCTCCTTGCAGACTCAGCTTCCCCAGTTACCACAGAGTACTTTAGCTGTGCCCTTCTCTATGCCCTGGAGCAGTCTGTACATTCCTCTGTACCAGTGTTTACCAGGTGGATTGTCCCTATCTGTCACGCCCAAGGGCAGTGGCTAGCTTATCTCTGTATCCTCAACTCTAGCATCATGCCAAGCATTTAAGTGTCACTCAGATACTAAGGAAAGGAATATCAGACAATAATTGTAAAGTAATAGGAATTAAGTTTGGAATGGTTAAGAAACAACTAATTATAGATATATGCAATCTTGGCAAAGTAATGGCAAGCCACTATAGGCTGTTCAGCAAAATCATAATAAAAGCATTTTGAGACAATTCATTGGTCAGTATTAAAACAGAAGAGAATAAAAAGCAGTGAAAATTTAAAGACAGATCAGCTAGGAATTAACTGCAGGATTCAGGTATAAGATGTGAGGACCTTCAAGAAGTGTGGTAGTACTGAGAACATACAGGGAAGATGGAGGAATGAATGAGACATGTTTTAAAGAAAAACCAACAGGATCAACAATGGTACCTGAAAGAAGAAGGAAAAAGGAAAACCAGAAAGAAAAGCCTGGAAGGGCATTATCTGGGGAGATCAGGATTTTTGGTAAGTTTCAATGTGAGGAGTTACAGGTGACATGAAATACCAAAAGGAAATGTTCTGGAACTAAGATTTGGTTTTAGGTTGAGCCTAAAACCAAATTCTAACCACTGACTGCCAACTTCGGTCACTGCAACAGAAGGCACACCGCTCACGTACCGCTTCGCCCGCTCCAGGTCGTCGTTGGCCTGCTCCAGCTCCCTCACGTACTTATGTAGCTGCTCCTTAATGGCCCGGGTCTGACTTAGATCATCTTCTAATACTGAGACCTGCTTGTAGCTCTGTGCATACTGATGCTCCAGTTTCTCCTGAAGGTGTGGGTATAGGAAGGAAAGCATGTGTCATTAACATATAGTTTTCTTTAATAAAGGATGTAACCCAAGTAAGGGGTGGGACGGGGGCAGGTGGGATCCAAGAGATTCACCCACAATCTGAGTTGATGGTACCCTTCTCTCCTTTTTACACTATTTAAAAACAATGACACATTCATTCCAAGTGCCTTAACTCATATAAAATTAGTCAATCATTCTCCTCTCAAAGGAAAGAGGAGAAAACGGTTTCACTATTTTACCTCTGAAAAGAGGTAAAATAGTGAAACCGTTGCCTTAAAAACCTCAATCTTGGTGGGGGAACCTCCGGGTTCTTAGGCTGAATGCAGTCCAGGGTAAGCACAAAGAAGTTGACTGACAAAAGAGTTCAAATTCCCTATACCTCACCTTCCCCAAATCTACCCCACACAGGAACATCCCAAGCATCTGGCTTAGGCATGTGAGGAAGAGCAGCAAAAAGGGGTTAATCTTTCACTCCTGAAAATTCCTTGTTAGAAGGGAATTTTTAAAAACTAAACTCCAAAACTAAAGGGACTACGAACCATAATGAAATAAATGTGTATTTCATACAAATATAATTTTAAAGTGCCACACAATGAGGTACTCTGTCAAAACAAATAATCAGGCAGCTTTTGAAAATTATAGGAACTACAACGTAATATTATAGCTAGGAACATTACAGCTAAAAAACTGACAGCTACAGTTTCCAAGTGAACTCCTGAACTCTAAACCACCTTTCCCTTGGTTCCATGAAAGCAAACAGTTTTTGTCAAAAATTCACTTTAGGCCTTTTTACATTTTTATGTTGCCTGCTGCTCTTAAGCTCCACCTAAAAGAATGTATTTCTCATTTTAATAAAACCCAGCAAATGAGACACCAGCTTTTACTGCCACAATTACCTTTAATGCTTCCACTTCATACTTCAGTCTTTGGTTATCAGCTTGCAAGTCTCTATTTCTTTGTTCAGCCTGTACTAACTGTGCCTCCAACTCTGCTTCTAATTCTCTGCTTCCTTCCTGGAATTCAACTAGCTCATCCCGAGCTTCCTGGAAGCTAATCAGAAACAAAGCAGGAAACATGTTATAGTAGGAAGCATAAGGATCATCCTGAAGATGATTATATATCAATTCAATAATTTTTGCCTGAACGTTATGCTACCATAAAATATACTAAACAATAAAGGCCATCTATTTTGCATCTCTTACTCTATATTCAGGATCCAATGAAAATAAGTTATAAGCCTCAAAAGGATTCATTTTTTATACACTTCACCCCTCTTTCTTATTTTTTTTTTCCTTTTTTTGTGGTACGCGGGCCTCTCACCGCTGCGGCCTCTCCCGCCGCGGAGCACAGGCTCCGGACGTGCAGGCTCAGCGGCCATTGCTCACGGGTCCAGCCGCTCCGCAGCATGTGGGATCTTCCCGGTCCGGGGCACGAACCCGTGTCCCCTGCAGCGGCAGGCGGACCGCGCCATCAGGGAAGCCCCCTCTTTCTTATTTTACATATTGATAAAGAAGCACATATTACTATCCACAAATTAGTTTAACATTTAGATTTGTTTTTTCAATGTAATTGGTTTCCTCTGTAATTCTATTATTTAATTTTATGCGTTTAAAAATGTTATTCTGAGAAGGGGTCCACAGGCTTTCCCCAGCCTATGAAGGCACCTATGGCACAAAAAGACTAAGAAGCCCTGCCATAGACGCACACTTTCCGTATCCACTAGCACAGTACAGTAACTGGCTTCAGCAATAACTGTGAAATAGCAATAAAAGGTTTGACAGGACTTCCCTGGTGGCGCAGTCGTTAAGAATCCGCCTGCCAATGCAGGGGACAAGGGTTCAAGCCCTGGTCTGGGAAGATCCCACATGCCGTGGAGCAACTAAGCCCACGCGCCACAACTACTGAGCCTGCGCTCTAGAGCCCATGAGCCACAACTACTGAAGCCCACGAGCCACAACTACAGAAGACAGCGAGCCTAGAGCCTGTGCTCCGCAACAAGACAAGCCACCGCAATGAGAAGCCTGTGCACAGCAATGAAGACCCAATGCAGCCCCCCAAAAAAAGGTCTGATAAGTCTTACTAAACTGTTAACCAAAGTTGGAAGATGTATATATATTTTAGAAAGATTTCATTTTAAAAAGAAATTTAAGATAAGTTTTGGTACTTAAAAGGTTATCTACAAGTTTTCCCAACTAATTGAAATGATTGAGATTTTATAAAATGCTCCATATACCCCTGAAGCTCTTGCCCCTCCCTCAAAGCTTTGCTGGCTCCAGACACTGATAACACCTGCCTGAAGAAAGTCTACCCTGTGAAGCCCTACAGAGCTTATCAGAATCTCCAAAAGACCAAAATGATGAGGCAGAGAATCTGTACACCGAGCAGGCCAAAGATGGCCAAGAGCAGTAATAAGCTTTATAAAAGGAGGTAAACTACCAGGAGAAATCACAAATGACAGTTTTCTTACTATTTAATAATTCGAGTAATAAAAGGATTTATGTCATTTTTATATTATTTAAATACAAGCAATGCTATGACTATTTCTAGAATCCCAATCCTATATCAGAAACTCTATATTTAGCTTTGTTAAAAAAAAAAAAAGGCACAAACTAGAGATTATGTATTCCAAAGCCCTCTCCTATTTTTAGGATGCTTTTCAACATTACCTTTGTTTATACTTCAAGGAAAGTTCCTTCCAATAAGCAGTTTCCTCCTTTAAACTTGAAAAATCTGGTATATCTTCACCATCCATGATCAAGAAAGACTGTGAAATATTAAAGACGAAAATAAATTAATAGAGAACATAGGAATCTTAGTAAAAGTATAAAGTCTGGGACAACACTAAATCTGCAGCATTTTGGAGGGAGTCAAACATGAAAGATTCTAAGAGCAGTTAACTCTATTACAATAAGCTCAGGCACCTAAATCACTTCACTGCCCCACTCACAGGGACCACCAGCATTGTGGACGGGGTCAGGAGAGGAGATGAACAAAGTCACGGAAGCCACGTGAAGTGCTTCTGGTGGCGGCACTAGGTTCTGGGGAGCTGACCCCACAGAATCATCCTGCAGCTGATTCACAGCGAACTGATCTTCTGGGAATCAGGTGACAGAAAACAAGCTCACTGTTAGAGCTGCTACTGCTGCGTGCCCTTCTCTGTTGTACAATTGCTTCAAAACACCTCCTTGAAACATTTTATACCAGGTAGCCTTTCGAGGAGATCAGGGGCCACATTCCCAATAATTTACTATCATTACATTTCTAAAAATTTCCTGTTAATTATCTTTTAAGTCCCAAGCTTCCTCCATAAGTCCACTAATTCTCCAACTTCAATGTTCTTTCACCTTGGTTCTTCTCCCAAGGCTTTCAGAGTGGGTTAAATAATATCAATTTAGGGCTTCCCTGGTGGCGCAGTGGTTGAGAGTCCGCCTGCCGATGCAGGGGACACGGGTTTGTGCCCCGGTCCGGGAAGATCCCACATGCCACGGAGCGGCTGGGCCTGTGAGCCATGGCCGCTGAGCCTGCGCGTCCGGAGCCTGTGCTCCGCGACAGGAGAGGCCACAACAGTGAGAGGCCTGCGTACCGCAAAATATATATATATATATATATATATATATATATTTAGTTAACCTTGCATTTAGACTGGCTACCTAAAATTCCCAACTGACTGTCAGGCCCAATGGAATACCAAAGACGTCGGGCTTGTCCTAGATTCACACCTAAGTGTTTCAGTCTTACCTCCTACAACCCTCTCCCCAAGCATCCTACTTTATATTCCAGCAATACTGTTCAAAATTGTCCTAATGCACCATTCTACTTCAGGTCTGGGTATTTTCCCTACCTGGAACGGCTCTCCCTCCTTGTGCATTTAGAAAGCTCCTATTTATCCTTTAAAACCTAGCTGTCACCTTTTCCAGAAATCATTTCCTGTCCTCACCCAGACAGCACTAAAATCTCCCACACTCTTGGCCCCCATGAATATGCATGCTTTCATGCATATATTTACCACATAATAATGCATTTGCTTACACCTCCCCCTATTAGGCTGTGTATTATTCTTACTGATTTCAACCCCAGCACATTGCCTGCACAAGAGCGCATATTCAATAATATTTATTAAATTAAACCAAAATTGATTCAACCTAATCCATACTGGGTAGCAAGAATTCAAGGCCAGCTTTAAAAGGAAATTAATAGGGACTTCTCTGGTGGTGCAGTGGTTAAGAATCCGCCTGCCAATGCAGGGGACACGGGTTCGACCCTGGTCCGATTCCACATGGCGCGGAGCAACGAAGCCCACGTGCCACAACTACTGAGCCTGCGCTCTAGAGCCCGTGCGCCACAACTACTGAGCCCACACGCCTAGAGCCCGTGCTCCGCAACAAGAGAAGCCATCTCACCGTGTCGAAGAGTAGCCCCCTTTCGCCGCAACTAGAGAAAGCCCGCACACAGCAATGAAGACCCAAAGCAGCCAAAAATAAATTTTAAAAGTAAATTAAAACTTGAAGTTGTAGAGAATACGGAATTCATCCAGCAGGACTCACTACTCACGAATGTTTGGAAAAGACATGGACAAGAACAAATACAGAACAAATACAAATTCAACTTGAGGGTAGGTATACCAAAGGGACACAAGAATGGCTTCTAGTTGAATAAAATTAAAATGTAACTATCAATATATACATTTAGTGTGATGCTTTTGCGGCCTACTGTGACTTCTTCCGGTTTTAGTCAAGTCTTTCCTGACTACATCGTCTATAATTACTTTTGGCGTATTAGTCAATCTTCTAATTAACTTAAATTACCAATCAGCCTAAGAGTTCTCTGAAAAGAGATGGTCCTTGACATACGTGGCATCTCTTCCTGGCACTAAGCACAGCACTTTGCTCAGAGAACGTACATAGTGCTTACAGACGTTTACTGAGCACCTACAATGTGTCAGACACTGTTAAGTGCTGGATAAACATTCAGTGGACCAAATGCACCCTGCTCTAATCTTATTACCCCTACACTGGCACATTTTTGTCTGTTTTTCTACTCTTGAAGATACCGTTATAGCATGACAGCATACTAAAATGTAAAACCCACAGTCAGGAGTCCTGCTGAGACTGGGTTCTAGGGTTTCCACTCTGCCATTAAATTCCTTAATGGCAATTAAGCAACCTGCTTAATCTCTTAAAGTCTCAGTTTTTTCATCTAATAAGGGTTTGGACTATACTAGCTGACTTGTTTCTTCAAATATGTATACTGGTTAGTAAATAATACTGATTAATTTTATAATCCTATCTCTTCATCAAAGTTCCCAATTCCTATTCAATTTCCCCAGATGTAGGGATAATCTTATTTGTAACTGTAATTTAATTTGTAGTAAGGTGTGAATGAAGATGAGGCTAATCCAGTAGCAAGAGGTTTATTTGTATCTCAGAAGAGTATCCAGAGCAGTTAAGGGCATCACCACATGGTATCAAAAACCCCTCTGACTCATTGCCTAAGTCTCCTTGACAACCCAGCTGAAGATAAAATTACAGGACACATGAGAGAAGCGCCTCACGGTGAGGCAACAATCATTGTGTCCCTTGAATGCTCTACATAAGGTTTAAAAAAGGTCTTTTCCCAAAAAGCAAAAAAAAAAAAAAAAAAGTTAATCACATTTGAAATCTATGAATCCAGTCGTAAAGAAGCTCCTGGGTGCTGGTCCTCAAATCTGGAGAGACACATCTGCCACTGGAACACTGGCAACCATGTATCAATGTGCAGCTCAAATATTCAGTTTCTCATACACAATCAATAAATTATGGTTTTGCAAAATGTTATGAAGATCTAAGGGACACAAGAAGCAAAGTTCTGCTGCTACTTTATTTTAAACAAGAAATATTTGGGGCTTCCCTGGTGGCACAGTGGTTGAGAGTCCGCCTGCCGATGCAGGAGACACGGGTTCATGTCCCGGTCCGGGAAGCCCCCCCCTGCCGCGGAGCGGCTGGGCCCGTGAGCCATGGCCGCTGAGCCTGCGCATCTGGAGCCTGTGCTCCGCAACGGGAGAGGCCACAACAGTGAGAGGCCCACATACCGAAAAAAAAAAAAAAGAAATATTTGAAGAGCGATGAAAGGTTGTGTCTCTCCATGTAGTTTCCAAGGGCAGGACCTGTGTCTTACTTATAAATCCCTTCTGCCTCACCAGGAACATGGAACGCCATAAAGTCTAATATTTGAATCTGACTTATAATCTTTTTTTTTCCTATTATTCCCTCTTTGCTTTCAAAGTACTGCTTTCCTTTATTAAATTCCTATTTCAGAAATGGTATAAGCCAAAAGATGTGTGGGCAGTTTATTTCTACCTCACAACACACCATCATGTATTAAATCAGGATTATAAAACCTATCATTCTCGGCTAGACAAAATTATCAGTCTGAGGCAGGCCAAGCCACATTCACAGTCACTTATAAAGCTCAGCATAGGCTCCACATCACAGAATAGGGAGCTGCTGGGACTTACCGGGGAGAGCCTTGGCGATAACCGCTGCACACTAGCTACCTAAAATAATCACTGTCCAGCCCTTAATTCTTAAATATAAATGGACAACCAAGAACCACCAGACAAATGAGAAAAGCCAGCAGCATGAGTAAGAAAATCCTAGGACCTACTGAACCTAGAGGAAACAGGTAATTCAGGAAATGAGAGAACTCTTCTCATACAAGAACTCAGGAGGGTTACCTCCCACACAGCTCCTGAGACAGCTACAAAAGAGAGAACAACAAGACCTGGATGGCACAGGCTATAGGAAATAGTGACTCCAACCCAGGATTGCAAAGAAGAAACATCCCAAGATGAAGCCTAGTCCATCACGCCCCGAGAGTCACTCAGTCCAGATGGATGGCTCCAGGAAAAAGGAGGAATCCCATAACAGACACCATGACTGGGAAGCTGGATAAATCTGAAGTTATGATAAAAGGACATCACTCTTGTGTCAACAAGAAAAAAAAGCAAGTTGGAAACTCCAGAGAAATCAAAACACAGTATATTTGGTCTTAAATTTACATTTAGTGTGTTGCTCCCTTTAAAGATTCTAGGATTTGGTAAACAAGTCTGTATTCTTTTTTAGGCCCTAATTCTGTAGACTTTGATGATAATACCTCTGAGCCTTGGTCTTCTCAAAGTGAATGTTTCTTGTCCTTTTAGCTTTGTATTCACTTGGCAGCCATCTGGACCCCTTTTGTAGTCCTGCTTTGGAACTTCTCTAGATTACATACATGCCTTTCTGCAGTTCAGTGACTGAAGTTACTTCAGCATGTCAACACTTTATTCGCAGGTAGGTTACTTTTACAGTTTCCAGTACTCCTTCTGTTACTATGCAGTATTCGATGATTCTGGCGATTGGTCCATGGGCCAATGTCCTCATAGAAGTTCATAATGACTACTAGATGCCTCCCTTGGCATCTAACATTTACCTGAATGTATTTAAATGTGGAGCCAACCCTTCTACAAATAGGGTTAGGGTTGTTTTCATCTACAAATGTTATCATTCACATGCCCAGTTTGAAACTTTTCTGTGTGAGGCTGTTTTTCATTGTTGTTGTTGACCCATTTATACAGTATCAGAGGACCTACAGCTGTTATTACTTTGAAGAGTGCTTAGCTAAGTAGTGTTCCCTGAGGAATCTCACTGTTTACACCTCTGGGTATACTATAAAGTGTCCATTTGTCCCTGTTTTTTGGTTCTTGAATAGGGCCGTATTCTTAATACAACTACCAATTTTTCCATCAGCGTCCCCTGGCGACTCAGGTTTTAAATAGCCTTTCGTGTGAAACTTCTTGAGAATCTAGTTCTATTTCTTGTATTTTCCTTGTCCAACTACTTAGCTCAGTGTCAAATAATTCTAGCCAAATTATTTTAATGTGTTTTCATTTCACACTTGCTTCTGTTTTCTTGCTGAATCTTATGTGAATTGATCGTAGACTACAATTTTTCTAATTAACAGGCTACTTTTACAAGTCACTTATTGGTCCCTCAAACAGTAATCTATGCCAGAAGCCTTTTACTAAAATGACATCAGCTTTTCCAAACAAACCAATTAAAAACACTTAAGAGGGTAACAAGTGGTAGGAGCAGCACAGCATAGCAGTTAAGAGCCCTGACCCTGGAGCCAAACTGCCCAGATTGGAATCAGAGTCCTCTACTCACTAGTTGACCCTGGGCAAGTTACTTAACCACTCAGTGACCCACTTCCTCACCTGTAAAATGGGGATAATAATTAAAATAGGGTTGTTATGAAGATTAAGTGTGTTAACATTTGAAAGTACTTAGTACGGAATCTGGCACAGTAAACGCAGCATAAATTTCACTTTTTTATTTGGTTGCACCGGGTCTTAGTTGCGTCGTTAAATTATTTTTAAAAACTGGTCGTTCAGTTGCAGACCTCTGAAGTATAACCATAAAATAAATGTGCTTCAGAATTTAGAACATACAAATGATTCCTTAAAATTAATCACTTCTGTAAGCTATGTGCATTATTTCAGTGATACCACCATTACTGAAAACATTTCTAAAACCTCTTCTGGAATAGCCTTGAAGAACCAGATTAAAAAATAAACAAAAAGCTCTTTCTTTGTGGTCATACCTCATTTCTACTGCCTAATTGGTATTATCCAGCTTTATCACTCTAATTTTAATCACGAGACTTAGCCTTTAAAGAAATTGGATTTTTTACAAATAACAAAAATTTGCTACCTTCTCAGGGGCTATAAAGACAATCTGTTCATTTTGCTTCAAGTTACAGCAGGAGGATGTGTCCACTGTGTTATATGAAACTATGTAACTGGAGATATTAGACTACAGAAAGTCAATACAGAAAACTATACTGCTACCAAAAAAAAGAAAAAGCTTTAATGACACATCTACAATCTTCTGAAGCTGAAATGAAAGTAGATAATTATATACTCTTCCCCACTACCCAAATCTTCCCTCAAAACCTTGTCCCATACAGACGGAGTGTGAACCCCAGAAGTATGACAACTTCTACACGGGGCATTATGATTCTGTATGTGACCTTGAGATATCTAGCAACTGACAAATCAACTCATTTGGGTATAAAACTGCCTGTCCCAAATGCTATATTTACAAAGAAATTGTTCTTTGTGCAATGCTAAGAAAATCCATTTTATATGATACTGTCTCCTTGCTAATAGTTGTCGAATGGACTAGTGAGACTGGAAGAGTTCTTCTGGAACTCACAATAGACAATAGATACCATTTTACCAAGATTCTTCTACTCCCAAAGGTGACACATACAGAATTTTAAACTTTTCAAAGTCAATCATAAATATGGTCTCCCCTTTGGTCCTATCAAACTTCTTTTTCTACCTTATGAAGCGCTCAGAAACTTACGACAGAAGTAATTTTAAGCTTTAGTAACCAAATTTATCCCAGTGTGACTCAAAATGAGAATTAAAAATAAGTTTTGGAGATGTCACAAAAGCATCTAGGTTTTTACTGAGGTTTCTACTTAAGTGTTCCTCATCCAATTTCAATTTACTTAATTTAAAAAGCCAAAACAGAACAAAAAACAACTGCTTCATAAGATTTCTATCTGGACCCAGTCAACTTCAACCAGGGCTAACCAAAGGTTTTTTTTGTTGTTGTTCCTTCTGATCTCTGATTTTAAATAATAACTTTAATAAAGATTCAGAGGAGATATTTTAGTTCCCCTTTATTCTCTTCCACACATGACTTAATGCTGCATTTTACCCCACCAACTTCATGACTTAGCAAAGCCATTACCCTGTTTCATAAATGGATTAAAAGCAACACAATTTATCAGACAAAATAATTAGCCAGCAACCATGACCAAGTACCAGCGTAGGATTTCTCTCACAAATGAGTAGCAGTTCTTATCCTAGGCAGGTCTGCTCAAAAACATTTGAACACATCTACTAGCTTCTGGTATATTTTTGGCAAATTTTCTACTTTGCTTTCTAGCTGAGAAGGGTATAAAAATCCCACAAAAAGAAACCAGAACTCCAAGCCGGGAGATGTAAATCCTGGACCAAGCGAAGCCACTCACCGGCTGGTAGAATCCACAGTAGAAATCACTTAAGCCCCCACCCCATCTGGTCTCAATTTCCCCATCCGTCAAATGGCGAGAAGAGAATCAGGCACAGCCACTAACCAGGTGATGAGGTTCAAAGGAGATAGCGAGAGTGTTCTGAAACGAGTAAAGGCGCTACAGAAATGTAACAAAATTATCCGGAGTCAAAGAACCCTCAGTTCCTTGGCAAAACGTGAAGGGTTACTTCGTTGCTTACCAACAAAAAAAAAAAAAAAAGGCCAGCACAAGCAACCCAAACCCGTTTGGTGACACTCTTCTGAACTCCAAGAGGGGTGATGAGCAGTTCGGGACAGGCAGTCACGGTAATGCCACCGGAGCCCAAGGTGGGCTGCTTCCGCAATGGCCCCTAGCTTCTCTCCCGCGGGGAGTTCTAAATCCAACCCGGCTCCGAACCACCCCCTCAGCTGAAGGGATGGGGGAGGGGCGGTGGAGGAGGATGGCTAAGCTGCCGCCACCACCTCCAACGGAGCCGCTCCTTGCGCCACCAGCGCCCGGGCCCACGGTGCCACGTCCCGGCCTTCATCCCCGCCATCCCTCACCCCACCCGCCGACACGGGCACATCCTAGGGAGACCGCCCGGCTCGCTCCATTCTAGGCGCCCCGGTGGGCCACACCTCGGACCAGGGCGAGAGGGGACAGTTAGAGCGGTTGGAACAGTTACCGCCGGACTGGTCGCCCCGGAACCCGGGCCCGTCCCGGCGGGGCCTCGGACACAGCCCCCGGGCTGGCAGGCTCCCCGGCGACAGGCCTCGGCGCCGCCGGCTCGGCCCGGCACCCTCGGGAGCGGCCCCGCACCACAGGTTCACCTCCAATGTGTCAAAAGCGCATATTCGCCTCCGCTCCACCGCAGTCTCCTCTCCGCTGGCCTGGCCAGGCCCGCCCAGCCACTCAGCTCCTCTCCCCTCCGCAGCCTTGAGCTCCACTCCGCGCACCTCCGCGCCCGGCTCCTCCCCGACACGTCAGAGGGTGCCTGGGTGTCCGAGGCCATTCTGTGACGCACGGGGGCGGGGCTCTGAGCATGCGCGCGAGCGCGGGGCGGGCTGGGCGGGGCTGTGGCGAGAATGGTGTCAAGGGGGGCCGGGCCGCGCCGTGCCCGGCGCGCTGACGTCACGCTGGCGGCAGCTTTCTGCGCCGGTGCTCTGGGCCCCGCTGTGTGTCGTTTGCGACCTTCGTGGTTCCCCAAAAAGGCTCTACGTTTGGGAAGGTGGCATCACCGTGGATGACAACCTGCCTCCCGGTTTTCAGCCATCAAGTCCTCCAAGTGTCTGTTTCAGTGTTCCCGTTTATAAGAAGAACCTCGGCTCAGATTTCACCTCCGAGTCCACCTCGACCACGCAATTCAGGCGTGTTCTAGCCCCCTCGTCACTCCCTCTCACAAAGACCTCTGTTGTTTCTACGGCATTCCCACTAGCTGAAACTTTATACTGCTTCTTGTCTTCATCTAGTAAAATGTAAGCTCCATGAGAACCGGAGCCTCATTCCTTTTTTATCCCAGCAGATAGCTTGGTACCAGGCACAAAGTGGGAGCTCACATATTTGCTGAATGAATGACTGGACTCGTTGAGGGGACCGAGGGAATATAAATATTTCCACTTGTATATTTTATATATCTAAGCGTATATTTATTCATGTAAATATGCATATGTATGTGTTTTCATTCCCTTGGGCCCCCAACTAATGGAATCCATTTTATTTATACATATTCCCCTCCAGAAGACTTGGAGAAGGGGGGCGGGGTGAACTAGCTGAGACAGAGGAGGATGGGCAGCTGCTTAGGGAGTGAAAACGAAGAAATAGAGCTGTTTTTAAAACAATTTTAGTAACTTTTGCTGTGTAATGTATAACATAATTCTCTCTGATGTCAGTGCTCTTGGGATTGGGTTTGTGAGGTTTCTGGACACAGTGATGTGTAAGGTCTCAAGGTGAGAACAAGGTGAGCCTGGGAGGTCCAGTTATATTTTTGAGGGCATGGACATAAACAGGAGCAGTGCAAGATAGATTCTAAGAGGTGTCCAAATCAATGAAGATCAAAGAAGTAATTAATGGGATTGTGGGAAGGATGGCACCTCGAACTAGACTCTGAAAAGATCATGGTAATAATAATAATAATGAGTAGTTCACTTTTGTTGTTCCATTTGTATGTACTGGCAATTGTGCTAAATGCTTGGTTTGCATAATTTAATTCTCACAATGACCCCATGAGATAGATGCTGTTATTATTCCCAGTCTACCAAAGAGGAGACCAAGACCCAGTAAGATGAGGTTGCCCAAGTTCACTTAACTCGAAAAAAGAGGACTCAAGGTTCAAACCCACCTAGTCTGGATTATCTAACTCAAGAAACCACACTATTAACCACTACTCTACTGCCACTCAAGAAAGGGGATGGGCTTCGCTGGTGGCGCAGTGGTTGAGAGTCCGCCTACCGAGGCAGGGGACATGGATTCGTGCCCTGGTCCAGGAAGATCCCACATGCCGCAGAGCGGCTGGGCCTGTGAGCCATGGCCGCTCAGCCTGCGCGTCTGGAGCCTGTGCTCCGCAACGGGAGAGGCCACAACAGTGAGAGGCCACTTATTAATAACGACTACTCATTGGGCTAGAGCCCTGTGCTAAGAGCTTTACATACATTTCCTCACAAGCAGCTTGTGAGGCTAAAATTATTACATGCATTTTATATACTGGAAAACTGAGGCCCGGGGAGCTGAAGTTTAAACCCAAGCAGGTCTTAGTGCAAGCCCAGTGACCTGGGACATCATGGAAGCCTGTGACCTCATCCATCAGGGCACAGCTTCAACCAGGAAAGCAGAGCCCCAGAGATGATGAGCAGGGAGGCCTTCCTGTGCACCTGGTGCCAAGAAGGAACAGTCCCACCCCGAGAGCAAATAAAGGCTGCAGCTCTGGTCCCTGCCAAGTCCTGGGAAACACACTGAGTCACCTAATGGCAGGCCAGGCCCTGCAGAAAATGTGGGCATCATCTTCCAGGCCACCACCCCTCCCACCCAGCCTGGACCAAAACTGATATTCATCAGGACTGGTGTGTTGGCCCCATCTTAATGAATGGCCTTTGCTTGGCAGGGCTCTCAGAGGTATCAAAGCCCTGTACTGATCTCCCTCCTCTGTGTTGGTTGAGTTTTCTCCAAAGTAACAGCAACCTTTACCCCACTCCCTGCTTCCAGTTTGTCCATCCCGGAAAAATAAAGTGGAGGTAAAGACGGAAGGCAGCCTCTAAGGGGAACAGAAGTTACAATCAGCTTTGTGAAGGTAGAAAGGTGAGTGAAGGTTGCTCCACCCTCTGCCTTCATAAACCATTAGGAAGGGGTTTGCTGAGGCATGGGTCCCAATCCAAGGTGTTTCTTGGATCAAGCCAAGGTGGTCAAATGTCACAGTCCCTGAGAGCATCCCATCTTCCCTACCACAAACTCCAAGACCCGGGAAACAGAGGCCAGGTTCCAACGCTGGAAGAGGAAGAGTTGACCAGCTGCCTTAGGAGAGGTCTGGACACTAACACAGACTCCAGCCAATGAGAATGTGGACTCCAGCCACTTCACACACTCACAAAAGGTGATGCGGTGCAACAGGCCTGCCGTGAAAACTCTGAGGAGATGGGGCATGTGAAGAAGCTAGTGAATCAGGGGAGCAGACACCTCAAACTCAAAAGTTTGATTCAGTCTGATCTCCATATCTCTTTGGCCAACTGTTTTCTGCTAAGCTATAGGGGTATCAGTCAAGCTGGGCAAGGGACTCCCAAAGGCCCGCTAGTTACTAATGGCCTGCTGGATACGTCCACGAGATTCCCATCACCACCTCCAGCTCTTTGTGTCTAAACCTCAAACAGATTCTCCATTTGCCACAGCTGAAATTTCCAGAAAGGGTTTCACGTTTCTGCCAATGGTGTCATTGCTCCCCTAGTCAGGAAGGCACAAAAGCCTCGTCAACTCACCCTTCATCATACCCTTCCCCAGCTTTCACTTCACTCACGTGAAATGAAATATGAAAGACTTTCCCTTCATAAACTCTCAAATACATTTCCAGTCTTCTGCCCCTGAATCTCCCCAGTCCAAAGTATCCCTTCCTGAACTTCTCTCCCTCAAATTTCTTGCTCCAGCCCTGCAGTGCACACCGCCATCGGAATAACCTTTCTAAAATCCCACTGTGTACAGAGCATCACGGGCAACAAAACTTGTTTTGGTGTCCTACTGCCTTTGTGATAAAATACAAACTACGAAGTCTGGCCTTCAAGGGCCTCCCAAAGCAACCCCAACCCACTTCTCCTGTCTCCGCCCTGCAGTTTACCTAGCTGGGTCTAATCAGACCCTCCACTGTGTACCCCAAATGGACAATTCCCTTCCTCTCTGGGCCTTTTATTAACTTCCACTGCCTGATGTGCTACAGCTGCTCCCTAGGGCCAGCCTGCATTCTTCTCTGCCTTTTGAAGTCTCACTCATTGCTACCTCTTCCAGGAAGTCTTCCCTGATACCTAAAGCCCCAAAGTGAGTGCTCCTTCCTCTCAGGAGGAAGGAACTATGTAGAACCCTACATAGTTCACAGGAGACTTACCGAACATGGCCTTTTGGTCATGGAGGTGTCTGACCTCCTCCAAGGAACCAAAGCTCACTGAGCACAGGAATGATGTTGATTGTCCTAATATCTGCCAGCAACAGGCACTTAGCAAACACTCATTTAACATGCTTCGGTGAAAGTCAGAGAGGGAATTTCCCTGATTGGGGAACTAAGATCCTGCAAGCCACACAGTGCAGCTGGTGAGAGAATGAATCAATGGTTTGGTGGCAATAACTCCAAATGCAAGACTGACAGCACTTTCTGGAAAATGCCCCACATTCTGAGAAAAATTACCATATAGAGAGAAGATTTTCACTGGTCTGAAAGGCTGAACTTAGGTGATGCTAGGTTACAAAGAAACTGGGATTTAGATCATGAGCAACTGACTTTTCTCTAGCCCCAAACTTAAAACTCAGTCTATAGGGACTTCCCTGGTGGCGAAGTGGTTAAGAATCCGCCTGCCATTGCAGGGGACACGGGTTCGAGCCCTGGTCCCAGAAGATCCCACAGGCCGCGGAGCAACTAAGCCCGTGCGCCACAACTACTAAGCCCATGTGCCACAACTATTGAGCTTGCATGCTACAACTACTGAAGCCCGCGCGCCTATAGCCCATGCTCCGCAACAAGAGAAGCCACTGCAATGAGAAGCCCACGCACCACAATCAAGGGAAGCCCCCTCTTGCCGCAACTAGAGAAAGCCTGTGCACAGCAACAAAAACCCAATGCAGGCAAAAATAAATAAATACTAAAAAAAAACTCAGTCTATAGCATCCACAATCTCCAAAGCAACATCTTTTGCTTTTGTAATTTACAATAACTACTAGTTGTTGTTTTTTTAATTTAAAAAAACTATACACTTGGACCTTGAGGTGAGAAGTGATTTGATAAAGTCTTTCACTCATCAGCTATGGGTTTATAGTGCTTGTTCTGTTCTAGGCCCTGAGGCTTCAACCATATAACTATAAAAAGCACACCCCACCCCCATGGAGCTCATATTCTAATGGAGAAGACAGTAAGCAAATAGACAAATTTATTTCTGTCAGGTCATGACAAGTACTGTAAAGAAACACACCAGGATAAGAGGATAAGGTGTGGCAGGGGCTGCTGCCTGAGGGAAAATAGGGCTTAATGCTCAGGGGATTCTTCTCTGTAAAACTGTCAAGGCCCTTAAAATAAAGGGCAACAGAGATGTGAAATTAAGAATGTAAAAATGTGTGCGGATGCCTTAAATATAGAAGTTTATCTTACTTTCCATCATAGTGCCTGGCAGAGAGTGGCCACTCAGTGCGTATTGGTTGAATGAATGACTTGCTAGGTGGTCTACAGAATGCCAGAGACTTCAACCAGATGGTAAATTTCCCCTTCCAAGATAAGGAATGATAACCAGTTCATGGCTGATTCAAAAATGCCCACTCCTGGGCTTCCCAGGTGGCGCAGTGGTT